AAACAGAAAATTTTGAAATGGTATGAGGGTCGAGCCGGCATCTTGGTCATTACCATGGGCAATTTTCACCATTGCTGCTGAACAAGCTTTTTGATTCGATATACTTACACTGTTATGTTTACAATTATAAATGAGTTCTTGTAAAATTAAAACATAAAACTAAACTAAGCAGGCCTTTTGTTCCAGGCTCAATAGGGCTTAGTCAAGCAGATCGGCGACTGTCCTCCCTTTGTCTCTTTCTTTATTCCACCAACAGAGAACAATAATGGCAAAGTTGAAAATTGGAAGACTACTTACCTACCAAATCAAGAAAACGATCCATCTTCCTACTTTTTCTCCCCCCCCCCCATGCGCTGGCTTCTCTATTTTCCTTTAGACTAAAACTCAATCGCCCTCCTCCTCCCTCCGCCTCCCCCTCCGCCTCCGTTGCATGCACGTTTCTGCCTCCGCCAGTCAATCAACCGTTGGTCGCTCAGTAGCGGTCTCCTCCTCCGGGCCACCATCGTCGCCTGCCACCTCCGCCACTGATTCGCTCTAGCGGCTGTGGGAGGAAGAGCGAAGGAAAGTCGCCAGGACTAACCACATTGGTTTTGGGAAGAAGAGCGGGCCACCATCGTTGCCTGCCACCTCCGCCGCTGATTCATTCTAGCTGATTCGTTCCCTATCTGCTTGACTAACCACGCGGTGTCGCTGGCCACGTTTCCACCGCCGCAGGTACTTTTCTTTAATTGATTGTTAACTATTTGGTATATTGTATTAGAATAGTTGATCATAATGTGTTCTTAATTCTTATACTCCTATAGAACATCCACAGTACGTGCAATAACAGAAATTGAGTAGGGTTTCCGACTTCCGTGGTGTAATTTTCTGACAATGGATGATGTATCGCAATGGTATCCGTAAGTATTGTTACCAACTAATCCTTACGATAGTCTACTCCGCTTCCTTTTCCTATTGTCAGCCATTACTAACGGTTTTATTTATAGGGAGTTTATGGTTGAGCCTGGTTTCGTTGTAAATCTGATGTATGAGGAAGCAGTAGCTATGTCTAATTTTTCGGATTCAATCGTTCTTATATTGTTGCAAGAGAATGGTGACGATGAGGTTATTGAAATAAACTTTTTTATCATTCATCCTTCTCGATCTCGTTTGCAGTTATTATGTTTGTTAATGCTTGTTAATTTTTTGAAAATCCTTTTCTTGTTTTAAACACCAGGAACTTCTTACCGCATCTCCAGACGTGTCACCGAGTTGAGGACATCCTGGTGTGCTGAATGTAGAGTGCATTTGATCCATCTAGCTATCGAGGATGAGTATGCAGCTGTTGAGGTTGTTTTCCCATCGACAAACTTACGCAAAATCGTTGCAGATGTAGTAAGTGATGAAGATATGGGCAATGCCGATTTCGTTACCCTTGTCAACTTGCTTGGTGGAAACTCTTATGAGTTTATGGTCACATTGGGTCCTTGGAACAATGTGTCGAGTTATTTTGAGCTGTTATTGGTAAAATTATTTTTTCCTCCCGGAAACTAAATACCATTTCAGCAATGTCAATAGAATCTACTAAAGTTGCTTAGTGTCCGCCTTAATGTTATTTCTCTTGTTATGCAAGTGTACTAAGTGTGTGAACACAATGCTTTTTTGTATGGGTTCTGCTCTTCTTAATGAATTGTTGCTTGTATCTTTCTATACTTATCGAAACATTTCTCAATTACTTATAAACGGAATCAGTTGCCTAATGAAAAGTTATGAAGAAAAAATTCAGGTTAATTTGGTTCAAATTACTGTATCATCAACATCCCACACCCCAATTCAACTATCCAAAAGGCTATCTTCATCATCTGTTCACCCAAACTACCCCATAGCTAACCATTTATCTCACCATCATCATCAAAACCCAACAGCCATCAAAACCACGGTTATCTGACAAACGTCGTCGTTTGTGCTCGCTGCTAAAGCGAGACTATCCCCAGGAAGAAGTCGTTCCACAAGCGTAGCTGAAACATGGTTACATGGATGTGGGTAAAAAAAATAAGACGATATGGAGAGCCGAATAGGCGACCTTGTAATGACAATAGCCCATTTTAACCATCAATGTTGTATAGGTTTTTTGATACTTTAAACGTACACGTTTTGTATACATATGTTGTAACAATTAAACATAAAACTAACCAAAAAAATAAAACTAGGGAACTCATGACTTCTTAGAGTTGTTAGAAAAGAATCGATGATAATAACAAAAATAATTAAGGAAGTAAAGCAAAATATATGAAGACGACTACAATTTTTGTATAGAAGTCAATGGCTTTACCCTGACTATATTATATGAAAAAGCTATCTACATGTGCATACCATGCATTTGGACAATAAACCTTTCATACTACTCACTAGATATATCTCTTTCGTCAGAACAATATGTTTTCAACACATTATGTGGTTGTGACATAGTCAATTTGCCATGTTTAAACACCATGTGTTTACATATTATTTTGGTTAGTGAACTTGTATACTTTCATTACTATTTGGGTTATACAATGAGTCTAAAAAGGCATTATAATAGAAATCATGTAATATACACTTCTGACAAATTTGAGTTTCATGCCACCAAAATTCAAAATAGTAAAACGTTGCGGCTTGATTTTACCTTGACCATCATCCCCATTATCTATGATTGAGTCTTGTAATTAGTGTTGAATGATTTGATTGTGATAGTTATTTAGATTTTGGAGTTGGATATATCGTATTTGTAGAACAATTTATTTATTATATACAAAAGTTTTTGTAAAAAAAATTGAAGTTGAAAGCTTAATCGATCTAGTTTTAAATTGAAGAAGTTAGGTTATGGAATGAATACTTGTTAAGTCATTTTTTAACTAAAAGTTGAAAAAATAAACAAGGCAAGCACCCTCAGGTTTCGAACCACTAACCTATAAGTTATTCAAAAACTTCCCGTCCGCTAGACTGTCCTGCTTTTCTTGTTATTATAATGCACACTAACCTATAAGCTATTCAAGAGCTTCCCTCTGCCGTAGGAGAGTGAGATCTCTTTACCTTGCTTCCTATCTCACCTTCTCACGGTATTTCGATAATACCGGTTTGTAACCGTTTACCGGTAAATCGGTAATCGGTAAACCGGTATCGGTAATCGATTCCAATTTAGCGACTGTCAGTATACCAAAACCGTTAAATTCGGTAAACGGTTTATCGTTTACCGACCGAATACCACCCCTACACACTACAGATATAATAATTTACCCATAGTTAATACGAAAAATTCAGGAAGCTCATCGGGTTTACACGTAACTTTCAAAATTCTCGCCCCCCCCCCCCCCAGAGCCAAGCTGTAGCTCCGCCCCTGGGTGTGTTCATGATCACTTCTTCAATCCATAACCAAATCATTCCATTCTCCCCTACTAACTCAATATAAGAGACGAGAAATGAAGAAGGAAAAACATAACTCATCACTAACTTTCTTTGAATTCATTGTCAAAGCTATCATCATAATCAGCAAACTAGAATTGATCCTTGAGACCATGATACTTCCCTTCATTCCCCTTTTCCCACTTGTCCCAACCAGAAACAACCCCCACTAACCTTCAACCTAACTCTCTCTACACCTTCATCTTCTAATTAGGTAGGAATTTAGCTAGACCATGATTTTATCAAATTTCATCCAAGACGTGTAAATTATTTATGTAACCATGTCACCATTGCATAACTTAAACTGATCCAAAAATTGGAATAAGGCCATAGGTTATAATTCATGTGGTATAAAAGGGACGAGGATGTTACCGTGTATAAGGGTCATGTATTTACAGCTTTAAAGTCCATTTGAGTGAGCTACACACTTCTTTATATGGATATAGCGTTTACATTTGTTAAATATCGTTTTGGTTATAACTTATAACTGACATATTATTTTTCTCACATGCTTCACTATCCACTTGACTAGAGTCATTGAGAAAAGTAAACACTGTGATGTTTAATAATAGTATATCTAATGGTGAGGCAAACTCTAACCTTTTTTCTTTAAAAGAACTCGAACTGCCCGGGTTATATTGCACATCTTTTATTTATCTCAATCAACTTCACTAATGGACAACACTATATTATGTTGTTTAAAATCAGCCAAATAATCTATAATTGTAAATATTATATACGCAATTGATTTCATATTTTAATATTGAAAACCTAATAAATTTGATTTTTGGTGAATTGAAAAAAGTAATAACCATCCATTCTCTAATTTTTCAGGACAAAAATGTGTAAAAAAAAGTGTAAATAATGGTAGCGCCAAAATGCAACGTAAAAAGAAAATTCAAAATTGTTAAAATTTGGTTTTTACCTTCTCAGAATAGCGCTTTTTTTCCGTAAAAAATTTGGTTGTCTTTTGAACAAGATTTGGTTCGCCCCCCTGAAACGTTTCCTTCATTCTGACTCCCCATTCTCATTCTATGTTGCATGTCGTCAATCTGAGAGAGAGAGAGAGAGATAGAGAGGCGATGTCGATTCCGCGTTGCTGCCGATGAGTAGAGAGAGAGAGAGAGAGAGAGTTGACGATTCCAATCATGCCATCGATTGGTGACAGCGGCCCGCGTTGCTGCCGACGAGTAAAGAGAGAGAAAGTTGGGCGGAGATGCTCCAACTGGAAGATAAAGAGTTCCATAGTAATCTCGCTTTTCCTTATCCTTTTCCTTCCCCGAATTGTTGGTTTTTACTTTTGGTTCTTTGATTTCGTCTTTGTTTGGCACGAGCTGCATACAAAACAAATCTGGATTGGAAAGAGTGGCACCTATGGTCCCATTCCATAGGATTAAAAAGGCCCCTAAGAAAGGATTGCAGGTAGTCGCTATGCAATTTTTCTTTTCATTTCTTTGAGTTCCTTTTCAAATTAGGACATGACTGGACACTCCCCAATTACCGAGTCCAAACTTTGGGTTTCTGACCTCGTTTCTTTGATCTCGTTTTGTTTTCATGTTGATTTGGGGCTTGCGAATCGGAGGAGGAGGATGAAATGGGGCTGATTAACCGTTTGGTGTTTCTAGAAAATCGATTTGGGGTCTGCGAAGCTGGTTCACTTTGACGGTGGCCAAAGGTGTGGCCTTGTCTGCATTCTTCTTTTGGTTCCCTGTTCCATGAGTGTCTATTAACTAGTTTTCTCTCTTTAGGTTGCTGGATACGACTTGTAATTTGTTTGGGTACACAGGTGATAAACTCTGCTACTGATCATTAGGCTAAGAACATGCCTTCTACTGTTCATTCACCTTCTCTATCTTTTGTTATATGTTGTTGCTCTTGATGTTCTTACGAGCTGAAGGTTGACACTTGTTTTTGTGTTGGTTTCTTAAGCTTGAAAGCTCGTCTTGGCGAGGTTGTTCTGGGAATATTTGATCTTGATTCTGAACATCTTCTTGCAGCACATGAATTCGAAGACCTTGCCCATTGAGTTATTAGTCTCTAATGCGGAATCTGTGAGATATCATAATGACATGCTTTCAGCATTTGGCTCAACCCAGGAAATAAAGCCTTCACGCTATGGGAGTATTCCGCCATCAACTGGTAGTTCATCCATTTTGAATCCAGAGGTACTACTTGAATGAACTTTATTGTCTTTGTAACTTCTCACATAAGTTTGTCTCTGTTTCTTTCTAATTTCAAGCTACATTCATGATTAGTTGTTATATGTTCCATATATGTGACAGAGGGAGGAGGAGAGGTTAAAGGACAGAGAAAAAGGGAAGACCATAAATATTGATCATTTCATGGAAGAGCTGAAGCATGAACATGAATTGAGGTGGTTTACTTTTCCTTCAATAGTGATTGCCCTCGTTTTATCTTGGATTGTAATATGGTGGAGTGAAATCAGTAGAAGGCATGTTCTTAGCCTAATGATCAATACCAGAGTTTAACCTTTCAGATTAAGTCATGTTCTTAGCCTAATGTTGGATGACTAAGTGTATGCTAGGAGAGGTTCTTATGCTTTTTTCGTAATGCTCATATGGTGATTTTTTTGTGTGAATCTGGTTGAAATGTGGTGATTTTTCTTAATGACAGCAGGGATGTTAGGGAGATTCAAGATTTCGAATACCAGGCATGGGCTCAAGTCCAAAGCTTGAAGTTATCTCTTGATGAGCAGAACTTGGAATTATGTGTTAGGAGTGCAAATGAAGTTGAGGCTTTCTTACTTTCCTTCTTTCCCATCTCACTTCTTTCATTATGATAAACTTCTTGTTTCTTTGTCTTTTCTCCAGATGGCAAGATTCATTAATTGGATTCGGGGCCCCTATCCGATCTAATATGAGAACTGGTGGGGGAGTAACAAATGATGTTGTTACTTCGTCCTTGATTGAATCTGTAAGACTGGAGACCTTCATAATCTGTAAGTTGAGGCTTTCTTTCTTTCCTTCTTATTTCCAGCCATTGACTTGGAACCTGCGTATGCAATTGATGCTGCTAAAGGTCTTGCATTCCTTTACTAGGCTCATCGACAAGCTTTTCAGACACCTCAAAACAAAGATGAAGAAGTCAACAAAGTTAAAAGCAAAGCAGATGGAAGAGGAGTCTTGACATGACCAAAGCGTTATGCCAGCTATAGCCAGAGCTAATCACCCCTCCATCCACAAGAGGATCAGCAGGAGCGAGAAAACGAAAGAGAAACTATGGCAAAGCAGCAGTGGCAGCCTGGCCTCCCGCCAACTTCCTCAAAGAGAAGATGAAGAGGACAACAAAGTTAAAATCAAAGCAGCCTTGCAAAAAATGCACGAGGTATGCCCTTGAATAACTAAGAACTCATTTCCAACTCTCTATGTTCGTCAAACCAAAAAATAAACCGTCAAAGGCTGCACTTGTTGTAAATCAACCAAGCTAAAAGATTCTGTTCCATCAATTTCAATGAACAAATAACAAAAACTGAGTGCTTTTTAACTCCTTGCTCTGGATGTTGTTCAACTTCTTGCCCTGTCTGTGTTGTTCAACTTCTTGCCTTGTCCCCTCTTCTGAAACATAAAAAACAAGATAAAAAGAACATTGAAACTGTAACTTTTAGCAAAGGTTCTCATATAATATATACATTAGGATGCATTAGATTATTTTAACCAAAAAAAAAAACCGTTGGGTCCTCTCAGATTGGCGTTCAGAACATTGAGTAGAAGACTCCACACTAGGACTTGTATGCTTATTGGATTTCCCTTGCTGCTGATGTGTCATAGTACTACTCCTAATACGTGGCCCAGTCTGTTACAAGAGTAGAAATTAACTCTTAAGCTGATAGCTACCTCTACCAAATAGAAGATAATTTAGAAAGAAAGTGTTGTATAACCTTATGCAACTTCGATGTGTTTTCCGTAGGCTCTACATCAGCATCGTGGTTGCTGGTTTGCTGCTTCTGATATAACCATTATAACAACACTTAGTTTTTAAGAACTATTAATTCTGATAAGAAGTCAAATATGTTTTACCAATTACCTTTTGGGGCCGACCACTTTGGTCATCGAACATAGTTTTTAAGAACTATTAATTCTGATAAGAAGTCAAATATGTTTTACCAATTACCTTTTGGGGCCGACCACTTTGGTCATCGTCATCATCTCCATCATTACCATCGATTCCCTTTCAGCTGGAGTTGTTCTCATCATTTCCAACTTGTCCCTCACTGCTGTCAACCCCCCTCAAGCAACCTGGAAAGATAGAGGAGTCTCTAACCCCAATAGGAAAATACGTGTAGCCAAGAACTGGAGTGACCCATATCTGGTGTTGAAAGAATGATCATCCCCCAACTTAGGTGGCGGTGGCATACTGTCTATTGACCTTGGGTTCTTTGAGCAACGTTTAAGTACCAGTTTCTCAGGAAGACTTTTCACCCGTTCTTCTTTCAACACACATAGCATATGAGTGCAGGGAATTCCAACACTGTTAAATTTTTTACAGCTGCACTCCATATCCTTTTTTTCAAGGTTGTATTTTACCTCCACAACCTTCTATTTGTTGAACATACTTAAACTGTAGGTGTGTATGTTTCCATCCTCAGATTGAGTGTTCTTTATGCACCCAATAACCTGCTCTAGTTCACTTCTTAATTTAAGAAATGAAACTTTCGAGAACAACTTAACTGCACTTTCTTCAAGGGGTCTAAGCATGGTGCTCTTTAGCGGGATTAAACCATATTTAGATTTAAAATCTAATTTGATCTCTGTTTCCCTCAAATCCCTACACCAACGGTCATACTGAATGAAAAAGTCAAGCAAACAGTGCCTCTCCTCCAAATATCTTCCAACAAATGAATTTATACCTTCATTTCTTGATATGGTTGTCAGCCCGGCAAAGTAGTGGGAGCGCAAGTATGTGTCCGCCCATTCTCCGCGTCTCCCAAATAAATTTTTAGTCACCCATTGGTTGTTCTGTAGACCACATTTTTCCACAAATGCCTTCCATTTCTCTTCAAATTCTTCTTGCTCATAATAAGCAGTTACAAATGTGCTCCATTGGGGATCGAAGTCTGGGCTATTCTTCACCTTGCCCTTGATATTCTTTGAAAGATGCCACGCACAAAGCCGATGTGTTGCATCTGGAAACATAGTAGCAATGACATTCCTCATTGCTTTATCCCCATCTTTTACAACTGTATGCAAGTCCTTTCCACCCAACATTTCCTTCAATATCTCCAAAGCCCACTTGTAGCTCCCTTCAGTCTCATTAGCTAACAGTGACTCCCAAATAAGCAACTCGTGAAATGATTGTCGATACCTGAAATAGTAAGTGCTTCTCAACTTGTTTAGAGATTAGAAAATTGAATATACGAACCAAAATTAGCACTAAGGTGTGTACCTGTGAAAATCACAAGAGGCATATTGTAAATATTTTTTTTGTATGTCGTGTCAAATGCGAGCAACTCTCCAAAGCACGAGAGGTCAGCTATGCTCATACTGTCTGCTAGGGCTGTTAATGAGCCGAGTCGAGCCGAGCTTTGCCATAGTTCGGGCTCGGCTCATTAATATATTTCCAGACTCGAGCTCGGCTCGTGTTCGTCACGAGCTTTAATATGCAAGCTCGAGCTCGGCTCGTTTATAAAAATGAAAGCTCGAACTCGGCTCGAGTTCGGCTCGTCAAATAAGCTTAACGAGTCCAAATTCAAGTTCAGCTCATAAAATGTTCATCATAGCTCAAGATTGACCTAGAATTGCGCACAAAATTACATTCTAACCTGTAGCAAAGTCTAGCAAAGTAACACACAATATTTATCCCAATTTCAATACATAAAATCCATGAATTCTAATCCTTTTTTTTTATGTCAAATCATTAAACGAGCTTGTTCGCGAGCTTTCGAGCTGAACATGGTATGGCTCGAGTTCGGCTCGTTTAGTTAACGAGCATCTTCGCGATCCGGTTCAATTAAAACGAATCGAGTGTCGAACGAGTTTTTCTCGAGTCTCACACCGAGCCGTTCATGAGCGGCTTGGTACATTAACAGTCCTACTGTCTGCCCAAAATAAACTGTGGAGCCTATCTTCCTCGTCAGTAGTGTATCGGAGGATGAAGTGCGTGTCCGTACTTTTCCTCGATTTAAGATAGGCTAGTGCGGCTGCCGCATCACTAGGACATAGCCTTTCATTGCAATCTCAGGTGCTGAAATTCATCCCATCTTTTACTGTGTACCCAACTTTGGCATGTCCTCCAGCACTATGCACATCAAGCTTTATGATTTGAGAAGGTTTCATACATGCACTCTTCTCAAATCTAAAGTCTGCCGTGTCAGCCCCTGTTAACCCTCGTTGTGATCTCAGGTGATGAGTACACTGCCGATTAATTGGCATATGATTGTGATCTTCTTTAATATATCCACTATCCATTTTGAATCATTCTTGTTAAATGCCACACGCATTTTTGCTTTACAACCAAATCTGGTCTCCATGGGAGAGTCTCTTTTTCTCTCCTTTGTTGGGGGCTCTATGTCCCTCATAAGAACAAACAAAAGCTCCAGTAGCAACATCTCCCTTGTTGTTCCGAACTTTCTTTGAGCGCCTAACAGAGAATCCCCAAGCCCTTGCATAATCATTGTAAAAGTTGTAAGCTTCTTCGAAGTCATTAAATATCTGGCCGATTTTAGGAGGATCTAAAATCACACCTTCGATCCCAGTCGTTTCTCCATTCGGAATGCCATTGTCTGTTTCTCCTGTTTCCTCTAAACTCTCAAGGTCATCTTCGATGGCACTGTTACGAGGGTGTTCTTCTTCTTCCATCGATACAATGGCTGCAAATTTCTTTGGTTTAGGGTCTCGGTAGAGTGGGATACTGACTATAGGTTGTTTGGTAGGGTTGCAGGCGGCGGAATGTGTATGTACGTACAAGAATTATGCCCAACCTGCTGCTGGAAACATATTTTCACCCCTCTGTCGTTTTGTCTTTGTTAAGAATGATTATTTTAGTACTTAAATTTAGGTTAGTTACATTAATAAAGTAGATAAATATTACCCGTATATCGGTTAATTGAATTTCTAAGTTCATTTAATAAAGTGGATAAATATTACACTAACTTTAATTAATGATAAAAGATTTTCCCGTATAGCTTTAATAGAATTTTCTAAGTTGACTTAATATGGTAGATAAATATTACACTTACCATAAAGATAAAAACACTCTACATCCCCCATATTAAGACGTGTGAACCCCCTTTTTGCTTTCAGGAATACCCAACTTTGTAACGATAGGATTAGAAGAGCACAATTCTGCACCATTCTGTGAAGCTGGAACAGAAGAGGACCGTGAGAAAGCCACGGTAAGTCAATTATATACACGAGGAAGAAGGGCACCATCGTAAAGTCTCTCTTTCTTCTAAATTCCTCGTCTATTCATTATGATTCCTTTTTTATCTCACGGACAAGAACAAGATGCAGAATGTTGTGGACAGCGAGATAATGACAAGATCAAAAGCGCGGTTGTCCGATATAATGGTTTATCAGTTTACATGTTTTTCATATCTCCATCGTTGGCAGCTTATTTTTGGTTAAAAACTAAAGAACGGCGTTTGTTTTTATTACTATGAATGTAGGAGCCGGAGAAGGATGCATCTTCGGTAAAGAAAGCTAGAAATGAAGTCGGTGTGATCTCTCCATCGACGCCGGGATCAAATATGATTGTTTTTATGGTGAACCGAGGGGAGATGGTAATGCTTTTGTCTGGAAAAGCCGTACCAGATTTTCTTCCCCGTAATTCACTGAAAAGGTATTTTTATCCACCCCACTAATATTTTTCTGCCTTAAAACAAAATCAGTGGTTATATCTTTATCGAACCCACTAATATTCTTTCGTCTTCCATTGCAGGTAGAAACTAAGTTTAGGCTGCCTCACGCTGTCAACTATAGTGAGGAGGAAATCAAACTTGCTCACTACATATTTTCAGCTGACCTTACGCTAAAAGAGGTCCTAGTCGATACCATGATGAAATCCTATACACGAAAGGCGCTATGGTCCCTCTGCCCTAACTCCAATGTTGATGCTGATGTAAGTTTTAATACAAATTATTGGCAAATTTTTTAGTAAGGCAGCAAATAAGGAACCAAGTTTACATGTGCCTTTCTTTGTGCTTGTATCTGCTATGTTCCACCTGGCTTCTGTATCTTCTTCTTCTTCCACCTGGCTTCTGTTTTTTTGCCTCTTTCCACCCAGCTTCCGTAACTCCCCTAGTGTTCCCAAGTTACTAATAATGAGCAAAAAAGATAAGGAACCAACTGTATCTATGTCTTCTTTGTACTTGTATCTAGTGTAGGATGGCGTTTGCCTCTTTCAATTCTATCAAAACAATCAAAATATTGGTCTTCTAATATGCTTTCTTTGCTTCTCATTTTCAATAGAGTTAGTCACAGATTGCACCTTACCTCTCTCCTTACCGTTCAACTCGTATAATATCAATCTCCTAAAAGTTGTTCACCCTGGTTGGTTGGTGTATTAGGTAATTACTGCAATGACTTGCCACTTGACCCTGGACGAAATTTCGACGGATGTTGGCCGTGGAAGAAGAGTATGTTTTCTGCCTACTGAACTGCGGGTACATATTGATTTACCTTGTACATTTATTTTAGGTGAAATATAATGTTTGTTCTATGGTATATAATGAACGTTTAATTCTGCTAATTTAATAAATCATGATTAGGAAATGGTACTTAACTATGGCATGACACCGAAAAAAGCTTTAGAGTGTTACGGTACAAAGTTTCTCACAAGAGCTCACACCTACATAAAGGTTTTCTTCTCAATACTTTTTTCTGCATTTCACTTTTGGCTTCCTCATTAATTGTTTCTAGCTATTGTTTGAAGGTATATGTGAATAATTTTTTTTGCAATCAAGCTATTTAACTTTTTCATAACTGGAATGTCAAATATGGTCTACTGATTTTGGTCTTTCTTGTCGTAATGTAGTTGTGTCTGCCAATGAATGATATGATGCATGGTGATGACATTCATTGGTATTTAGTTGTCATCTTGATGGATGACAAGCAAGTCCATATCTTGGATTCATATCCTTCTAACGAGTGCCAAACACCTCGTAAAGATGCAGTACAAACTATGGTATGGTCAGAATTTGTGCGTGGAATACTATTATATTTGTGAACTGGATTTTTGTTCTCTTCTATTTGTAAAAAAAGTTACTCCTTATGTAGATTGGATTTCTCGATGCCTTGTTCGAGGATCTTTATTTACAAGTGGAACAAATGTGCGATCCCTGACTCGCTATGACACAACACCTAACAGTGGCCAAGTGTAACCAATGAAAGGGACTGCAGTATAGTGGCACAAGTAATAAATATCGAATCCACGGGTCTCTAGAGTTACTATTACTCAGCTTCAGCTCATTATCTAGCAAACTAGATTAAGGATTGATTTATAAGCTACTCTACTGACTACTCTACTAATTACAAGTTGGGAACTCACTTAGGTATGATTCCCCCTAGTTCCTCAATTAGGTCCAAGTTGCAATTACCTTTGGTTGATCTACTGTTGATTAAACTGCGGAAGATCCTAAATTAGCTTGGAATCTCTTAAGCTGACCAAGCCCTCTCAGTCCAACTACCCGGCAGACGACTAGTCTTCACCAGGATAGAAAGCTGAGGCTATGAACACAGAACTCCACTACTGGAACGAATTCCAGTACAAAGCATTGAATTGATTGACTCTCGAACAACCAATTCACCACTATCAATCAAGGAAGCTCTCTTAACCTAATCAGATTCTATCTATCATAGGTTAAAGCAGAAATCAAGAGAATTTGATCAAGATTCAATTGACTCAATAAATCATGCCTCAATCGATTATAATCAAACAATATAGCATCCTAAACTTCATACAAGAAAGATCCTAACACATGGAACTAGGGTTCCTCAAAACCTAAGTGAAGGGAAGTTACTCCATAGAGAAGAGAGAGACTGCAGAAATCTGATCTAGATCTTCAATCTCCATCTCCAAGCTTGATTCCCGAGCTCCAATGGCGAAGAAATCCTCCAAAATAGCTCAAAGAATGTTCCCAAGTCGCTCTCTCTCTCTAGGGTTCGTCCCTTGGGTGTTTGGGAACCAAAAACCCAGCTCTCCCTTTCCTTTGGCTCGAATCTGCCTCAAAAACCCGATTCTGGGCGAATTACGGGCTGAATTACGGTCGTAATTCTTCCATGCCCGTATTTTGCCCAAAACACGCGTTTTGGTTAAGTTTCCGTGCACCCAAAGCTCCTCTCGGCAGTGAAAATACGGGCATGGGAGAGCAAATTACGGTCGTAATTTTCCTGCCCGTAATTCTCCCTCCGCTCCTGTTCAAAGCTTCGTTTTTCCCTCGTCCGGACTCCAAATCAGTCGCCGTTTGAACCCAGACGCTCGTAGTCTCATCCTCTTTCTTTTCATAACAAACTTCCATGATAGTTTGTCCATAATATGAGGTAGAAATCCATTATTCCTCAGGTCATGCTCGTGTTTCTTCTCCCGAATTGCCAAATGATCTCCGATTGACTTGAAACTTGCGCCTACGCTTCACTTTATGTGCTAGGGCCTGAAATGTGACAAAGGAACACAACCTAGCATAAAATAGGCCAAAGAAGTGATAATGCAAGCTTAAACGATTAAGAAACAAAGGGGAAAACATGTGCAAATATCGAGTCATCAAATCCCCCCACACTTAACTGTTTGCTTGTCCCCAAGCAAACCCGACTCAAACCAATGCAACTCTCCAGACCTCTATAGCAACAAACAACCCCGATCGTCGGTAGAGGACTCTCTAGATCATAAAGCAGCTTACGAGGTCAACTGGTCTTCTAAGACGTCCCCTATCTTTCTCAATGCGAGTACTAGACTCAAGTAGGGATGGCAATCAAACCCATGGCCGCGGGTACCCGACCGCCCCCGACCCAGTCAACGCGGGGAATCCCCGCTTTGACCGGGTATGAGGCGGGTATGGGTAAAACCCGGAAAAAGTTTGATGGGTATGGGGCGGGTATGGTTTTAGCCTCCCCTGCCCCATACCCATACCCATACCCGCCCCACCAAGAGAATTTTTTCACATATAAAAAAATATGTGTATTAAATTGTAATCTATCAATGGGGATGATGATAACTCGAGAAAATAAATAGTAGAAATGCAATTGAGTAACCACCTTAATCAAAACCTAATTCATTTCCCTCAATTCTCCTTCCACTCTTTCACTTTCCCCCTTGTCAACAAGATTATGTTAGTTAATTATTACTTAGTAAATGTATCAAGAGTTAGAGCATAATAACTTAAAAAATATTGTAGTCTATATTATGTATTAATGGATGTTTTAGGATCATATTCTTTGAATCGTATTTAGAAAATGACTGTGTTTTGTTGACTTCATGATATAATAAGTTTGTTTATGGTTATAATTAATAGTTTTCTTGTAAGTTTTAGGTATAATAATGTTGGATGTACTGGGATGGGTATTACCCATGCGTACCCGAAACCCATGGGTATGGAGATGGGTTTGCAAAACATTCCCCCGCATGGGTATGGGGCGGGTATGGGTTTGGGTATTTGAAGATGGGGATGGGGATGGTTTAGGCAAACCCGCCCCATTGCCATCCCTAGACTCAAGCCAGGATCATGAGAAGAAGTAGAAGTAAGATGGTCAGTTCATGGATAAAGGGACTCACACCATTCACAACCAAGGACTTTTTGTACTGGGGTGCTCTTTCACTTCATTTCACCGTTGGAACCCCTTTTTCACTTTCATTTTACTTTTTTTTCATTCACTTAGCGGGGGTTCCAACTGCAGTCTTTCGCACGGTCGACCCTTATTAGTCGAGCAAGAGCAATTTCTGTACATCTGGCGCTCGCCAGAGTACTTCTTTCAACTCCTTTTCCTCAACTCGTGTGGAGGGTCAATGAAATTAAGGGGGGTCGGAAGCTCTATCCGTGCCCTTAAAAACACATCCTCAAGTAGGCAAACCGTTCGAGTACCCCACTAAGGATCACCTTGTACTGGAGACAGTTTAGCTTCACCTTGTAGGAGTACCCCACTAAGGATCACTAAAATCTCCTCCAAAACCCGATTTTGTGCAATGAACGGTGCCACACACGTTGGGCTTACACCATGTTTAAGATTTTGATGATTTCGACATGGAGGACCAACTGCTTTTCATTTCACACATGAGCACCCTATTCGATACACGAGTCCATAACACAATCCAAACAAAGTCCACATTACCACATGAATTCAACGGTCTTAGCTCCACTAATTCACAAAATCAACTGGCACAGCAGAGAGCTAGGTAGGAAAAATCTTATACTTCAACATCCTCCATAGTGCTACACTACCTCCCTAGGTTGCACATTACTACAGAGACTGTCAATTCAAATCATACTGAGCAGGCCATTTGCAAGGAAACACGTACTTGGAGCCCTCAAATCGAAATTCGGACAGTGGACTAGGCTCCAAGCACACAAACAGCCAAACATTCACCCGCATACATAATCGAACATCCCCCCACACTTAAGCACGACATTGTCCTCAATGGAGGAAAGATAAGGAGGGTAGAACGAAGTTATCAGATCAAGGGTGAATGACGGTGGACAAGGCAGGCGGTGCATTCCAGGAGGAGAGAGTAGTCGAACACAAACACCACACAAAATCTCACAAAGGTTGAGTTATTGACTCTAAAATCAACTAACAAAACTGACTCAACCGAGGAGAAAAAGAAAAAGAAATGCAACCCGACTGGTTGGGTTGCCTCCCAACAAGAGCTTCTTTCATGTCGTGAGCCGGACGATGGCTCCTAAGTTTCGGTCCACCCTAAAACCACCTTGAAGTTGAGGTTCTCGTCAATGAGGTGGAGTCTCAAGTCACGAGCACGTGGTATGACAGGTGAGGGAGGCTCGTGCACTTGATGCGGATGAAGTCTCCACCCTCGAGACCTCTTCTTCTCTTCTCTCGTCTCATTGCCCCAAACCAGATATGACAACATCGATTGGCCACCATCGCATCCACCAAGAGGGACCGATGTCGATGTCGCCTTGGTCTGGCAAAGAGACACTGCAAATGGATCCTTGCTAAGCAGTTCCTCGAAGTTTGGTGGGGATATTACTTGTATTATAGGGCCGGTGCAAGCCTCTTCCACCTCAACTTCATCCTCGGCCTGGACACCACTCGCTTCTTCAACCCCCCTTACTTCTTCAAAATGTGGTCTCTCTCCTCGGAAAAGATCAAGAACTACCTCTTCTTTGCTTTCTTCCTCATCCTCCACAACTTTCCTCACCCTTTCTCTCTCTTCTTCTTCCATAACTGATTGGAGAGCAAGTCGCCATGCAAGGTTCTCAATAAGTTCAGCTTACATCTCCTCGCTCGGGCCCAGCATGTCAGAGCGGAAATGGGGAAAGTTGTGATCTACCACCAGAGGATACACTTGATCATGATTATCATAGGAGCTTTCCTTGAGAACTTCTGTATGCTCCTCAACATCCTCATGATTCCCTTCTTCTTTCTCCTCCTCTACTTGTATGGCAGCATAAGGGTTTTCTTGAGAAAACTGTGCACAAGCTTTCTCAATGACCTCTATGTGCTTGTTTATGCTCCGAAGGGTATCCTCTGTTTCACGGGGAAAGGAGAAGTCAGTTTGGGCAATGGCCTGGATATGAGGATCCATCTCGGGGAAGGATCTCTCAGGTACTCGAGCAATCTGCTCCACGAGAAGCCTAAAGTGATAGTTTGGATCTGGCTGTGGAGTGTAGCATGGCTCTGCCGGATCGGCCGTGAAGGCTGTGGCGAACTCAAGATCTTATGGCACTTCTTGTTGTGGGAGGAATTGTTCTTGAAATACCCAGGCGTCTGATTGTTCTTCGTAGTAGGGTGTTGGTACTGAACCCCGACTCCATAGTCTTCTCCTCCTTGGTTACTCCAGGGAGTCTCGGGGTAATACCACTCGGATGGTGGTGGATACCCCCAATGATTGGAGAAGCCATGAGGGTCCATGATTCAGATCTGCACCAACAAAAACAAAAAAAAAAAACACCCAAGTGAAAAGCAAGGGCGGGAAACAAAAGAAAAACGCTAAAGTAACAAACTTCTGCCTTTCCTAATAATCTAGAAAGTCCCCGGCAACGGCGCCAAAAACTTGACACGCCAAAACACAACACCAAACTGCGACCAAGTGTAATCGCAGTCCGGGAATGCAGTAACAGGCAAGTTCTATTATCAACCGGGGTCTAGATCTACTGCCTACTCCGTGATTATCTATTATCTAGCCAAATAAGTCGATTGATTGTTGTTAAAACTAAAAGCAGTAAGAAAGCAGGAAATGGTTCGGTTTTCTCAAGCAGGGAAGAGTCACTCGGGAAATGAATCCCCCTAGCTCCTTAGTTAGGTTCAATTGTAATTACCCTGGGTTGATTCACTGTTGATTAGACTGCGGAAGATCCGACAGTAGCTTGGAATCTCTTAAGCTGACCAAGCCCTCTCAGTCTAACTACCCGGCAGACGACTAGTCTTCACCGGGATAGAAAGCTGAAGCAATGAGCACGGAACTCCACTACTGGAATTGGATTCCAGTACAAAGTAGTAATCTGGCTAACTCTCGTATAACCAATCTCCTACTATCGAATGAAGAAGATCTAACAACCTAATCAGATTCTATCTATCTCAGGTTGCACAAGAAATCGAGAAAAGCTGATCAGACTTCAATCAATTCAATAAAACATGCATCATTCGATTAAAACCAAACAGTGTAATCATCCCAAGTCATTACAATCAAATCCCTAACACATGGAACTAGGGTTCTTCATACCCAAGTGAGAGAAGGGTTCTACTCCATAGAGAGAGACTGCAGAAATCTGATCTAGATCTTCAATCTCCATCTCCAAGCTTGATTCCCGAGCTCCAATGGTGAAGAAATCCTCCAAAATAGCTCCAAGAATGTTCCCAAGTCGCTCTCTCTCTCTAGGGTTCGTCCCTTGGGTGTTTGGGAACCAAAAACCCAGTCTCCCTTTCCTTTGGCTCGAATCTGCCTCAAAAACCCGATTCTGGGCGAATTACGGGCTGAATTACGGTCGTAATTCTTCCATGCCCGTATTTTGCCCAAAACACGCGTTTTGGTTAAGTTTCAGTGCACCCAAAGCTCCTCTCGGCAGTGAAAATACAGGCACGGGAGGTCAAATTACGGTCGTAATTCTCCTGCCCGTAATTCTTCCTCCGCTCCTGTTCAAAGCTTCGTTTCTCCCTCGTCCGGACTCCAAATCAGTCGCCGTTTGAACCCAGACGCTCGTAGTCTCGTACTCTTTCTTTTCAGAACAAACTTTCATGATAGTTTGTCCATAATATGAGGTAGAAATCAATTATTCCTCAGGTCATGCTCGTGTTTCTTCTCCCGAATTGCCAAATGATCTCCGATTGACTTGAAACTTGCGCCTACGCTTCACTTTATGTGCTAGGGCCTGAAATGTGACAAAGGAACACAACCTAGCGTAAAATAGGCCAAAGAAGCGATAATGCAAGCTTAAACGATCAAGAAACAAAGGGAAAACATGTGCAAATATCGAGTCATCAATCCCCCAGTGATGAAGGAGTTCTCTTTGACAATTCCTTCAGATCCTGAACAACGTCACCAGTAAGAATCATTCCTCATGCATAAATTCTAAAACATACTTACGTACTCACAACTCATATGCTTCATCTAAATTTATGTAGGTATGACAGTGGCGTTTGGGTGTGCATATGGATGATGGGTGCAACTTGGGATGAAGATTATTTTATATGGGTAAGCAACAATTCACTTGCTTGAACTTGTAGTTAAATAACCTAGTGAATTTGCTATTGAGATCCATTGTCTTTGTGAAAATTTTCCAGCCATGTGGAGATAATAGGAGAATGCAACTAGCTTTGTATTTGGTCAAACAACCTGCAAATTACATAAGACATATGGTCATCAAGGAAGCAGATAGGAATGCGCCGAGGTTTGAACTCGAGACTCGTACGTACAAGGAAGAAAATCAAAAGAGGCTGAACAAGAACTAGAGCTATATGGTGATAGTGCTTCCATGATTTCGTAATTTATGCTTGCTTTTCTGTTGGGTATTTCGGATGAACAAATTTCAGTTTACATTATCATGGGATTCGGTTCTTTTTGTCCTATGTTGAACTTGTTTGTTTGTTGAACTAGTTAAGTTTATGGTTTTAGAATCTTTGGTCTATATGTTTAGATCCACAACATCGACACTTTTGGTACATTTTCAATTATTCAGTTTGGGATGAAACTAATTCTATTATATCAAACTCAAGTAATTCAGTGAAGTGTGGGATTTAATTACATTTGCACAACTCTCGTCTGGTGACCAGCTGGGAGAGAATATATCTAGAAATTTGGGAAATTCCGAAGTGGTAATTATGAGCTTCTATCGTGTTAGAAAGAGTACAACGTACCTTAATAACAACAAACAAATAAATATGACAGCTTCTTAATAGAAACAACTGTTATTTTATGAGAAGCAGAATGAATACAGCTCAAAAAAATTTATTCAGCACGTATGGTATTCTGAAAATGAGAATTCAATCCAAACAGGTTACAAGGGATACAACTCAATCAAATGAGAACATAAACTACTCAATCTACAACAGAATCCATACTAACATTTAGCTAACAAGAACTATACAAGTACCACTACAAGCAGACTGCACGTTATTGTTTCCCAAGCAGACCAGTTCTAAGGAATGTTTGATTTTGAACACTAACTGTTCTAAGGACTGGTTGTGGATTTCTTTCCAATGTAGTGGTTGTGCAGCCCACGATCTCGACTTCTTGCTCAAATGTAGTGCCTGTGTCAGACTGCTGAATACAATGAAATAATAATCCCAGTCCATCAAATCAGGGGTGGGCAACAACCAAAGTGCCGCTGGATGACAATATTAAGTTAGGCAGAGGCAATAATCCCCTCTTACAATGATGATGGGTTTGAATGACCTTCTATCAAGCTGGTCGTGTGTAGTGCTGCAAAAGTAACAGCAAGTCAGTAAGAGAATTTAGTCAACATACAACAAATGGTCTTGTGCGAATGTGCTTGTGGTTTGGGATGTTGCAGTTTTCCTTGGGCAGCTCGTCTTTAGCCCAATTCTTGGTCCCATTTTCATTTATAGTGATCTTGCGTTACAATACTCTAGTGAATGGCTTTTCCCTCTGTATTCTGGTAGTATAGGCTGCAAGCTGTTTACAGAACAAGAAATACATCTAAGATGACCACATCTAAGCAGGGGAAATATGAAATCAACAAGTCTGACCACTACTAAGGCTTGTGTGTATGGGTTACCCATTGGTACCCGTTATTCGTCTCGTACGGGTAATGGGTACCCATTAACCCGTACGAGTTGTGACACGGGATGGAGTTTTCTCTCCAAATGGGACTGAGTACCCGTTTCAAACGAGACGGGTATCCCGTCCCGTCCCGTTGTCCACCCCTACATCAAATTCACAAACAAACCATGTGGCGACTAATGATTATCAATCCACTCAAAAAGGTTTGAAAGAGAAAGGATATGAACTTGTTCCACGTTAACAGCTTAAAGATTGATGCATTACTTAAGCTTGTGATAATATGTTCAGAATCCTCTACTTAAACCGTATTACACCCCAATTTCCTTAGTTTTCATTATGAATTTGCCTCTTCCCCAACACCCTTCACGAGAACCCCAAAGGAAAAGAGGAAGAAAATAAAGCTCCACTTTAATTGCAATGATACAACAATGAAATAATCAACACCACTCCAAGTTTGGAAATTTTCTTATTACAACTAAGTGACAAAGCAAATTGAGCCAGATAGTGCTGCTGAATGGAATTATCACAAGCTTAAGGATATACAGATTCAATACTATTAATCCATACCAGACCATGTGTGGACACCTTCAGTTCTCGCTCCCTGGGCCTCAGTCTTCCAGTCACATCCAAGCTCGATCAAATCTTTTCACCTGCCCTTCCACTTTTGCAGAACTCGTCAAAATTAGACAACAAGTTCGACTAATTCTCATAAGCATCAACTCAGGCTTCCGGCGGCGGCGTGCAAAATGACAGTCATGGAGCTTGTGAAAATGACGAAATCATCATCGATTGCGGCATAGCGATTACCAATTTAACTTCCCCATGAGAAATTTCTGATGTCTGACCTCCGCACCGCCATCTCCATCGATTTCGTCTGCAGGTGTTTCCAGTATAGAGTTTTCCGCCGATCAGCCCTTACCCCCATCTCTCGAGTATGCGATTTTCACTATGCAATAGATAGCATGGCACTCAAAAAAATCCAGAGCTCGACTATTGAAGACAATTTGGTAAGAGAATTGATTCGATGGTGAAAGGAGGATAGGGTTCGTCCGTCAGAATGAAGGGGATATGGGAAAGGGGGTTTTTGGTAGGGCTGGCTATTTGGTCGCGGACTGTTTGGTTTTACCCAAAATCGGACCGTATAACTCGGACCGGGACTGGACTGGGACCGGATAGCAAACAATGCAATCTCAAATTCGGGCTTAGATTTGAGGTAAAAAACCGGATAAAGACAGGATAAGAGACCCCCAACACCTAAAATCAAGATAAAATTGGGATCGGACTAGGTCAAGATCGGACTATATCCAATCCAATCTTTGGTCCTTATATTCCCGAAAAGACCGGACTGGAACCGGATTAATTTGGTCCAATTTAATCGGACCGGACCGTATAGCCACCCCTAGTTTTTGGAGTTGTACGACATAATGGTTCTGACTTCTATGTTTTACATATATCAACTGAGGAAATGTTTGAATGTACTTTTTTTTTTTAAAGATGGTTGGCTGTTTCATTAATACGAAACAAGGTGTACAAAGTTTAACAACAATGAAAGGAAGGAAAAAACCAGTTGATCCAAGATCGAAAAAAAGAGGTGAACCAACACAGGCCCAAAACCGCAAAGTCCCAAACCCCGTCCAAAACAAGTGGACAAGCCCACCCCAATCAACCCTAACAACAACTAGCCCAATCACCAGAGAAAGGTCACCGTTCACATCCTCCATTGTCGAGAGCAAATCGGCAGCGACATCCCTGCCAACCCATGGTCAGACGCAGAGGAGCACAAGGGCTCAACAAGAGAGACGAAGCAGCAGCAGCCTCAACGGGAGAACCAAACTCAGGATCAACTTTGAGATCCACCTGCACACACAAGCAAACCAGAAAAGCTCAACCGGGTCTTGGACAGAGGAGTGGCGGCTGAAACCCGCCGATCTGAGCGAACGACTGAACTCCCAATCTCAAAGATGACTTCCCTTGCTCACAAGCCCTCTGAAAACTCATCCAAGACAACAAAGGTCCATGCATCTCCGAATCATCCCCATTTATGGATGAAACAATTCTCCGAATCATCCCCATTTATGAATGTAACTTGATGGAAACACAATCACACAAAAATTGGGTGCACAATTAATTAGATAGAAGAATATTAGGCATGATAATATGAAAAGATACGAAAATTTTGTATAGGGATTAAAGAGCATGTATTAAAAAGTAATAGAACCAATCAATTATTATAAAATCATAATTAATAAATAATTTAATTAGAATTAATAACAGACGTTAGATTAAATCAACGGTGTAGAGCACCTGGAGCATGCTATGCATCTGAGCACCTTTTAACTATTTGATGGATTAGTTATGAGAATAGCAATTAGAATATGAGGTTGTTCTAATACAGAGCGGGGACAAACCTTTTAACTATTTGATGGATTAGTTATGAGAATAGCCATTAGAATATGAGGTTGTTCTAATACAGACAGAGAGTTAAATTGTTAACTTGAAATTGGTGGATGAATCACGTAAAGGAGGGCTGTCCATTTCAATTAGTAAAGGGGGGTTTCCATATATATATATAAAACATGGGGCATTTGGAATGGAAGAGATGGGAGAGTCGAATGTTGTTGCAAGCCTTTTACATAGTGCCGTTTGCGGTTGTTTATCTGTGACGTAATGATATAATTTCTTACGGATGATCCCCTACGAGGAATGGTGGTTGGTGAGGCGATTCGTTCATCTTGGGGCCGTATCAACGAGAGTAATTGAATCAAGTCAATCGGCTTGATAGTAAGGTGAGTGTAAAGTGGGTAACATCTCAGTCGTAGTTCTTTTAGTTTATGCAATTACTTTACGTAATATTGGCTAATTTTTCAGTTGTGCGCGATTATGTGTTAGGCACCCCACCGCCTACTTAATGTGGAGGCACGCGTTGTCACGGGAAAATTCTTGAGTTGATGATGTGGTTCCAATGCAGTCAAAATCGCGCTTTAAAACTTAAAAACTTACGATTTTACGCTTTTAGGTCACCAAAATGCTTTTGTTTCCATATAAAAACTTAAGTGTATAAAATCGGACGAAATTGCGCTTTAAAGCTTAAAAGCTTACGGTTTTGCGCTTCTAGTTCACCAAAATGCTTTACGTTTTTACGTTTTTTGTTCACTAAATGAGTATTCTTTTCATGAAATTAATTATAAAAAGTATATTTTAAAAGTAATCACCAACAATATGATAAATTTGAGATTAGAAGATACATATCAGGTACTTGGATGCATTCTCAACTTCAATAGAGTAATCTAATTCCCCAGCTAGGTTTTTCCCAAATTCATTAGCATAGAGGAAAAAGTGGCTTATTGTTAAAATTTATGTTTATGAAATTATTATTAAGATGCTATAAGTTGTTCTACTTTAGGCATGAATTGCATATATTTATTAACTTATCTGTGCATTCATATTTTGCATAGCATATGTCCTACTTAATAGATTTTTAGTTATTTTTCACTATGGGTAAAAAACTTAAGCTTTTACGCTTTTATTCCACACTTTATGATTTTATCCCTTTTCCGCTTCTAGGTAGAATCGCACTTTTGTCTGCATTGTGTGGTTCCTTAATTCTCAGACTCATTCAGTTGGCGCATCTATGTACTTGCCAACCTTTTTATAGATATACCAAATTCTAATTGCTAAAAACAGTAGTCAGTATATACAAAATTATGTTTTG